CGGGCGTCCGCCGCCGCGCAGCCCAGCTCCCTGCGCCCAGCCGCGCCGCCGCGCCAACATGCCCGCCGTCGACAAACTCCTCCTGGAAGAGGCTTTGCAGGACAGCCCGCAGGTTAGCGGCCCGCTGCCAGGGGCGAAGCCGGGGCGGGGGGCGCAGCCGTGCCGCGGCCGCTTGCCCCGGGGAGAGCCCGGTCGCCCCGCCGGTGTGACGCACCTGAGGTGGCGGCGGTGCCGCTGGGCAGCTCGCTGGGTCCGGCCGGGGCGGTGGGTTGACACCTCGGGAGGGCCGGGGAGCAGCCGTCCCGCCGCCGGGAGAGGGGTGTCAGCGGGCGGTGCGGGAGGGCAAGGCAGCAGGGCGGGCTCCCGACGGGCGGAGAAGCGGGTCAGGGTGACTTCGGCTGCCGGAGCCGTCGGGGAGCAAGGGATGCCGTGAAGCGGGTAAACGGCACCCGGGTGGCGTCGGGGAAAGGCTTTGGTCTCCCCGTGGGCATCTGTCAGGGAAAAACAGGCCGTGTCTGCTCCAGGGGGCCTCCGGGTAAGAGGGCTGCACCCCAGCGGGGTGTGAGGAGGCCGGGGCACAGCGCCCGTTCTCCTCGCCTTCCTCAGAGAAACCCCTCCTTTGGCTTTTTCCTCACGCTGTCCTGTCTTGGCGTGCGTAAGGGTTGCCCTGAAGAGGTGAGGTGTGTTGGGGAAGGACAGGTGGGCATGGCTCGGTGCCCTGGCTTCCCCCGAGGTCCCTGAGGGAAAGGGAGGCTCCTGCGCTGAGTCACCTGGCCCAGGTGACAAAAGTGGGCTGAAGGAATGTCACTGCCGCCGTCCCTGCTCCGGTGAGGAGTCCCAAGGGCTGTAGTTCAGATACAGGGGCTTCCTGTGAGGATAGATGAGGTGAGGTGGACCCGCTGAAGACGACCTCCTTCTGAAGGAGTCCAAGAAATGAGGACAGGCGGTTGCTGCCCTTTCCTTCCCAACTGGAGGCAGGGGAGGACGTTTCTCCCCTCACCCCGGCACTGTGCCCCATTGCTGGGAGCCGTGAGGCGATGCAGCTGCAGACGTGACCCCTGAGGAGCGTGGAAACCCCACAGCGAAGAACGTGCCATGTCGTGATGTTTTCAGGGGGCGGAAGGGTGTGAGGCCTCGAGAGCTGGGAAAGGGGGATGGAAGGAGGGGTGACTGGGTGGGAGAGAGAAGTAAGGGGAAGGGGAAAGCGTGGAAATTTCACAGAAGGGTGAGGAAGGTGCACTTGAGGACAAAGCGTGGTGCAGACAGAGATACAAAAGTAATTGGTGAAGCTGGGAAAGAAGAAGGGAGGGCAAGGTAGATAAGCATGGATCCTGCTCCCAGGTAGCCCTGTGTTATAATCCTAACTCATCTGCTGATGGATCAGGAGGAGGAATGAGTAGGTAAGCTGTGGAGCAGATTGGTGAAAGGTTTTATGGAGTCTGCCATGAGACATTTTGAAGGAAAGCTTGGACATGCACCTGTCAGGACTTAATGAGTCTTGGGGCTTATCTTGATCACCTCTTCTTAGGCCATTTTTCTGTGATTCCGTGAAATCCCATCCTAGTAAGAAAGATTTTCATCATCTGTTTGATGTGGCATATATGGAATCTCCATCCTTGGAGATTTTCAAAACTCGATGGGAAGAAGTGTTGAGTAACCTGATGTAATGTCAGTCAGCCCTGCTTTGAATAGGAGTTTCGACAAAGTGACCTGCAGAGTTCCTTGCCAACCTGAACTGTTCTGTATTTCAGAGTTTACCAAAATGTGCTAGATTTATTACGAGCAGTTATTAACATTTTTAACCTCCCTGCTGCACTCTGGAGCTGAAGAACTTGACACGCAGGATAAGTGAACTCATTTACCTTTTCAGTCAACACTTCCTTCAATGATTAAAAATGTACACTGACTGAAAGCACCTGAACAATGCACTGAATTGAATTTGGAGGTCTTCATCTTTCTTCTGACCTGAAATGAAGGCTGTTAGCATCTTCTTTGCAATTACTGGAAATACCAGGCTGTGCATAAACCCAAGTATTTGCAGGATGTTTTGGCTTGATTTGGTCATTGCTTTTTGTTCAAGTCCTACAACTTTGGGAGGGAGGGGCATTGTTTAATTTTTATAATGGCCCAGCATTGCTAAAATCTGTTTTTTCATGCAAGGAAACAGGGGTTTGTTATTTTTTTCAGTCTTTTATATTTTTATTACTCTCTTTGTGGAGAGAGCTTTAGATTCACAGTGCAACAGAGTCCCTCTGTGAGCTGGGTGCTACAAAATCAAAGCAAAAAGGCAGTCTCTGTCCCACAGAACTTATAGCATAGCAGCTTATAGGATCATTTACTTCTGTGTAAAGTGACCTGATTCTCCTCTACACTGTGCAGTCACTTACAGCAATGCAAAGGGATGTTAAAATGAGGATATTACCTCACTTTTTATAAACTGTGTGAAGTATGTAAATTATATGCAAGACAGAAGAGAATTAGGCCAAAGTTATTTCTTCATCAGTTTTCTGAAGCTTGATTTCTCTCTCCCCAACCATATAGTACTTTTGTCTTGATTTGTCTCCCAAGCACTGGCTGAAAAAGGCCATAAGAATTGTCTTAATTTTGAAGTGTTTGGCCACGAAATAGGAGAGAAATTTATGTGAACAGTCATGCTAAAACCAAGGGAAATACATGAAAGTAGAAATTCTTTTCCTATGTTTCCAGAAGCCAAGATAATGGTGCTATTAATGAGGCCTTGTAAATGTTAGCTTAATATTTGGATTACTGGTTTATTTCAGCAGCATTAGCTGCTATTCCAGAATTTGTCAAAACAGCAACAACAAAAATACACACATGCTGGTATTTTGTTGCAGATTTAAAATGGTGTTCTTAAATATACAAGTTTCCAAGAATAACTTCCAAACTGCTTGAATCATTTATTGTTTTTATTATTTTTGAAGAATGTGCTAATAACTGAGGCCAAGACTTTCAGAAATTATTTCCCAGAGCAGTTCTACGTCAACCCATATTTAGACATCTGAAAAACTGAACCTGCAAAAATTCAGTAAGATTTAGGAATGTAGCTGACATTCCTGTGTTTGGAAACCTTTTCCAGCATGCAGAAATGTGTGATTTGTAGCCTATTTCAGGCAATTTCTTTATAGCTTTTTACTCTTGGCTTGAGATTTGTCTTGATAAATGTTGTGTCAGGTTTTATCATTTTTGCCTTTCCTAGATTTATTTTTTAACCATCTTTATACCATGTGCATTTCATGTGCTGTTGTAACACAAAATAAGGAAGGTGAGCACTGTATAGATAGAAGATAGTTTGTTGACATTAGTTTTGCTTGCTTTAATGCATCATTGGAGATAAAACATTTAAAATGAGATATTTTTGAAGAGCAATATGTTTTCAATTACTGGAATAATAGCTTAGTGTGGCAAACTCTCAAAATTATGCCACTGTCCTTGTAGGGAAGTTCTGCACAAAGGTCCTTTATAAGTTTGGGTTCTTGGTATTCATTTCATTGACTTGGCCTTCTTTCCATTCTTTGGTTTTTATGTTCTCTTTATTTGAAAACAGTACTTTGTATTACATATCTCCTTACATGCTGAGATCTCTAACTAGTTTCCCAAATGCATTGACTGCCAGTGTCTCTAAGCTAGGAAGTATTGTAGCAGTTTAGCATGTTAGCAGACTGAAATGTTGAGAGCTTTAGAGCTATTCAAAGTATGGAAGTACTCCCGTGCAATGTCTAGAACAGAACCCAAGTACTGACTCCCAAGTCATGTACTTTAACTGCTGAGCAATGCTTATTTCTGGCTTAGATACTTCTCGCCAGAGATGAAATGATAGTTAATCTTAGGCCAGGGTTCTTGAAGGATGCTGATTTTGAGTTTTTCAGGACAAACATAAAGTCTGGGCAGTTTTGCAGAGAAGAATAAACGCCTTGGGGAAGTACATGTGCCTACTGTTAAAGTAGTGGAGTAACTTAAAACTATCTTAAATCTTTGAAATAAATTTTCCAGATTTGAACATGGATACTTAAGGTACATTAGAGATTCCTGTAGGAGGACAGATAAAATGCTTGCTCTGTTGCAGGACTGACGTGATTATGAAAGTACTTGAGTTCTTGCGTGCCCCTCATGTAAGCAGATGAAACTAATTAATGTCATATAAATTAGCTGTACAGATGGAAAGACATTACCAGTTAGCATCAAATGGATTGGATTTACCAAAGTTAAGACTAAGGATGGGTCATGACTTTGTTAAAGGGACAGCCTTCTCTCTTTCATTATTGTCGTGATCTAGCAAATTCTGGAGCTCTGCATTATTCCAAGATATCTTTGTTTCCCATCTCAGGAGCTGTGTCAGCAACATAATTCTTTGCTCCTGTTGATTCCACCGAAACAAACCAAGGGAATTCATGTCTTTAAGATAACACAAGTCATTATGCTCTTTTTTCCCCATTTTCTGACAAGGATGAGCTAGCAGAATGGAGAAGGTACGGGGTATCTCTGAGTGGGTGTATGCTTCTCTGCCTGTTGTTGTAGATGAACACTCAGTTGTTTGGTCCAATTACGTCAGCTAGCTTTGGCAGTGGCCCTTTAAAAGTTGCTCAAGACAGTTGAGAGTGAATAATACTCTGTAAATTATCTCATGGAAAGGGGTGCTTTTAATGCAGTCTGACATTAGAGAAGTGAGCAAGCAGTGGTGTTTGACCCAGAGTCCTTAACGTGGTTTGGATTACTGTAGTCAGCAGGCAGATATTCAGGATTTTTTACATTCCTGATTATCTTGGGAGGAATGTCTATTAGTTAGAGCAAGAGACTGGGAGTCAGGATTTGGCCATAGCATTTTATCACTTCGCTTCCTTATGCCTCAGCTTACCTATTCGTAATAGAAGAACTAATTTCTATATGTTTTGAGATTCTGAATAAACAGAATCATGCAAAGTTAAAGGCTTATTATTTCTGATTGATTTGTATTTTTTGCTACCATCTATTTACAGTCATTTATGGTTCTTTGTAATATTTTCACTCAGGACTAAAACCATTTGCTTTTTTTTCTTCTGTTGAAGACTCGGTCTTTGCTCAGCGTATTTGAAGAAGATGCAGGAACCCTTACTGAATATACAAACCAGTTGCTTCAGGCAATGCAACGAGTCTATGGTGCTCAGGTAATTTTTCATTTGTGTTTCTTTTGTTCGATGTGGAGTAGAAGATAAATTGCTATTATGATGCTGTTATTTACATTAAAGTTGTCTGCACCTCTTGTGGTTTAAGAGGAGTTGTGGGTGTTTTCCATCTGATATCTCAGCCCCTTCCTGCCTTGATGTTCAGAAAAGTCATATGCATGAAAAAAATCTTATCTGCTTTGTCTGTCTCCAAACAATTAATGAAAGAAAAATTGTGGTATATCCTTACCTTATGGTACATTGGAAGGCCAGCCTTGACAAAATTGCTTGCCTAAACATAGACACAATACACAGATAAGTATTCACACTGACTTTAGGCATCTGACTTAGGTGCTGTGACTCACCGTTTGGAAGGAACTGTCTATGTCCATTGATTACAGAGAGAATGTACACTTTTGAGTCATACTGAAATTGAGTACCTAAAGTAGTCAGTGTGAAACATATGAGAGCAGGAGCAGAAAAAAATAACACTTTCTGAAGTGCTTACATGACCTAGATGACTAAATCCCTTTGACAGTAAAACTTGTAAATCATATCCAGTGCTTTGGAAAATATTACTGTAAATCTGAGTGATTTTCAGTGAAGCTAGGATTCCCATGTGCATAAAACTAGATATTTCAAAATACCATATCTAGGTCTTTAAAGACATACGCAGTGTCTTGTGGAACTTTTGCAAGTATTTATGTAGGTTAGATACCCGAGTCCCTTAGAAACAACAGCTTTCCTATTCTTAGACCAGTAGATCAGAGGACACAGGGAGATGAGGAGAATGGGGGTATTTTGAATTTACTGGAAGACTGAATGTCTGATTTTTATCAGGAATCACTTCAGGTATAAAACTAGTGTACGTGTATGTCCATTTGGCAGGATTGCTCTTTTGGGGGACTGATAGCATGACTTGGAAGAGATATCTGCCCAGGATTTAGCTACCTATACCTGGAAGATCCAGCTTGGGAGAGCTTCAAAGTCTTCATGTCCTGGATCCTGTGCAAATGTAGAGCAATCAGAGGCTTACAGCACAGCTTAGATACTTAGAAAACAATACAGCGCTGTCATGGTTTAACCCCAGCCAGTAACTAAGCACCACGCAGCCACTCAGTCACTCTCCCCCACTCAGTGGGACAGGGGAGAGAATTGGGGAAAAAACAAGTAAAACTCCTGGGCTGAGATAAGAACAGTTTAATAGAACAGAAAGGAAGAAACTAATAATGATAATGATAACAATAATAAAATGACAGTAATAATAAAAAGGATTGGCATATACAAAACAAGTGATGCACTATGCAATAGCTCACCACTTGCTCACTGATGCCCAGTTAGTTCCTGAGCAGTGATGCCCCCAGGCCAACTCCCCCCAGTTTATATACTGGGCATGATGTCCCATGGTATGGAATACCCCTTTGGCCAGTCTGGGTCAGCTGTCCTGGCTGTGTCCCCTCCCAACTCCTTGTGCCCCTCCAGCCTTCTTGCTGGCTGGGCATGAGAAGCTGAAAACTCCTTGACTTAGTCTAAACACTACTTGGCAACAACTGAAAACATCAGTGTGTTATCAACATTCTTCTGGTAGTGAACCCAAAACATAACACTATACCAGCTACTAGAAAGAAAATTAACTCTATCCCAGCCAAAACCAGGACAAGCGTGTAGCCAAGGGCTGGAGAGGTGACATGAAATCAGCACTGAAAGTCATTGATGGGCATTTTGGTAGAGCCACGCTTTAAGAGTAACAAGAGTGTGGGCATGTTGGATGGTAGAAGTCTGAGACCAAAGAGCAGGTAGGATTGAAATGGATGAAAGAAGGAAAGGGGAGGATAAATGCGGTTTGATTATGAAGTGTCCAGCTTGTGGATAACGTTGCTTTCCCCTGCTGATGCTTTTTAGGATGGCATTTCAGGAAGTGGTTACTCTGGCCTGTGATTCATGAAAAAATTCTTGGTCTGCTTTGGTTTGCCTCTTCCTTTTCATCTTGGTTTTTAGCCTTCTCCATTTCTGTTGCCCCACAGTTATGACATTTCCTCTTTCTTTTCACTGCTTCAGCACATTTACCCATCTGTACCTTGCAGTAGTACTGAATCTACTTCATTTTCCCAGCACTTCTTGGCCACTTTCTTCCTGCACACTTCCTGCTTTAATTTGATCTGAATATTCAGTCACTTGTGAATATTGGATGTGTTCCTTGCAATACCTCGTCAGAGTTTCATGCCATTTTGAGATGGGAGGCACATAGCAGTTGTTCAAAGTCAAGCTTTGTAAGGATGTGGAGGAAAGCACACTACACTATGACTGACTTAGGAAAATTCAGGTTTAGTGGCCAGTGTTGGCGACTTTACCAAAGACACTGGCTCAGCGTTTAGTGTACTTAGTGTTGCCGCTTCTGCTATTTAATTCCTTGAGAATCACTATGTGTTGTGACTTCAGTTTGGGGTTGTGTTCTCAGAATCCAGTAGTGGCAAAAAAATGGCATTGCAGTAACAACAAAGCATATATAGGTCATATTAATTATGTAAGTGGAAGAGAAAACTGAAACGTTTTGTGTGGGTTTTTTTCCTATATATGCTTTAAAAAGTATTGATATTTTTGGATGAGATCTAAAAGAATACACCAAAGTTGGGGCAGTATTATGATTTTTTCTTTTATTTAAAAATTAATGGAAATATTTAATTCAGTCATATATGGTGCTTAATTCCCAAGAGAATGGTGGTGTTGTATAGGCTAACATTGATTTCTGACTAATTTTATTGAGCTTTGCAAATATCAAGATATCCTTTCCAGGAGCCGTTTCTGATTATTTCAAAGTAAGACACACTTTCTGACTGAATTCACCCTCAATTTTTGAGAGGCACAGGCCTTATTACAAAATTTTATGATTGCAGTTGCTGTAGAAGGAGAAGTGTAATGCTGAATTGCGCAATAAACATAAATGGACAGTTAAGAAAAAAACCTATGTGTAATATTTCTTTGCCGCCTAATCACAAGAGAAAATCAACTTTTGCTGATGTGTTGTTAGGAGACACATTGTCTGGGCCTCAATAGCAGCGTATTAGGAACTGCTACCAACCCTTTTCATTTCGAGAGGGAATGAGATTTAGTAGAGAGACTGTAGAAGTTGAGAGCATTGAGAAGCCAGGTTCTGAATTTGCCTTTTTATTTTCCTGACTTAAATTTTGTCTTTGCAAAGTCATTGTCATCCCCTGCTCTAATTTCCTTATCTGTAAAATAGGAATTAGTTACTGACCTACTTTGAAGCAGTGACCATAAAAATGGCTGGAATCAGTGTCATGGCTGTCAGACAAAACAGCAGTGGGTTGTACCAGTCCACAGTATTGAAAAATCAGGGTTTATGCCACCTCAAAACAGTTATGACAGTTTAAAAAATGTTAATCGTGTTTTCTTTCTAACTAAATTCTGAACTCTTAAAATTTCTCAGATGTCTCAACCATACTTTCAAGATTTTCTGGAGTAGTTTACTAGAAGTTTGTGATGAAAACTTAGATTTCCATGTAATTCAAACCACTGTAGTTTGTGATCAAGTAACAATAGTTGATGGTTCCGAATGGATGCAGTGCAAAGTCTCAGGGGAGTAGCAATTAGTACCAACTGCATGCTGTTAATTATCCATGTGGATATATGCATATATGTGTCCCAAAACACTGCTTTGTGTGCAGAGCAGCAGTAAGTTTCTAGATTGACAGCTCAAGCTGCTCTAAATAGTTGGATCAGTGCATTTGAAAGGAGTGCAAGAGCAATGTTTGCCCAGAGCTTTTTGAAACACTTAGGAAAGTAAGAATCTTTTTGAACATTCCTTTTTTTTTTGCCCTTTTTTAAGATACAGGTTTCTGCTAGGTGCTGGAGACCTAACTTTTCAGACTTACATGTATATATTTAAGCAGGACTTCATTTTGCATGCCTTTAACTTTTCTACTGACAGTAGGGCAATTGTTGGGATGGGTGCATTCATTGGGATGGGATTCAGTAAATGATGTAGATGGACCTTTGAAATGACTTGAAATTGCTTTTGTCCCAAGAGTGGAAGGAGGGATCTGCAGCATCCTATCGCAGGGCGTAGCAGTGGATATGCTGCCTAGGCACCTGGAGCCACTTGATGTGGAAGGGCCAATAACACTAGGCTGCAGCTGGGTGATGTATTGCTAGCAGATTGCCTTTGGGTGCAAGGGCCTCAATGCGTGACAAGCCCCTGGTTGCTGTGCAGGATCAGGACAGTGCTCTCTCCTCTTTGAGCACCCACACCAGATGTGATGGGATCATGACTCTATTTTGCAAATGGAATTTTTAGTGAAAAAGGGACTGCGATACTACAAGGCAGATGCAGTGTATGATGCCGTGATTAAGCAGGAGTCACAGGAACAAAATGTATGAGCTGTGCTCAAGGAGTGAGTTTTGGTTGATCTGGCAAGCCCATGTGTGTAAATATAGTTAAGCATTTTTATGTCTTCATCAAGTAAACCACGTCCACGTGAGTACATATTGTACTTCCTGCTGTAGTTCTCCCATCTGTGCTGTGGTACCCTGAAGTGTACGCTGAAGTAGTTATCATGTTAGTGGTCTTACAGAGGAAATCTTCCTTACAGAGTTTATTCCTGTAGTTCTTCCTCCTTGCAAGCAAGCCCTGACGCTGCATATGGAATTACTGCTGTCTGATTTCTGAGAATGTTGTGTTCATCGTTCTAGACATTTTATTACTTGAGCAATATGTAGTGCAGCAAGCAGGGATCGTTAGAAAACTTCATTTACTTAAGTTGCATGCTGAGGCTCTTGCAATGGTGTATGAGCAGAGTGTGCCCAGTTTACATTCCTGACTTCCCACTGCCATAGTAAATTATTTTCAGAGCTTTACTATCATCTCTAGTTCTTCATCATATTATAGAAATGGCTCAGCTGGGATCTTCACTTGAAACAAAATGCCATTTAGAAACTCAGTAGACTGTTGTGTGTCTACTGTCTATTAGAAGGGATAAACAGTT